GTTCCAATGCACACCAAAGCGTCTAGCAACAACATTATGAGCAACACCAGCCTCTATCATTCAAACCACTTTAACTAAGTCTAAGCATAGCTTACCAAACACTTTCAACAGAGATACATTGGGTTTTTTCTGTTTGTCATGGATGCAAATAAGTAACAAAGTCAATAAAGATTGTCAAACTTGCGAAAAATGCAAATTTCGACACGCGCACAAGGACAAAAAAATGTAAGTGCACAAAACGCATTATCCGTCAAAGTTGTTAAGAAGTGCACACATATTTGTGAGAGCAAAAATTCAGTTAACTATTAATACTTTATTTCCATATACGCGCAGTTTCCATTTCCGTTAATATATTTCATTGTCATTACTTATAATGTATGGTTTTGCAAACTTTTACACTATAAAATGCATTATTATTTGCAGCTGTTTTTTTAAGATGTGTATTGTAATACTTTGCTTGACTATTATGTATTTCATTTTATCATATTATGTACTGTGTTATCCAGTGAATATATCAATGTCATATTTGTTGCGTATTAATCCATGTGATATCAGCCCTGTGATTGGTTGTAAGTTTCTGTTGTTGCAATTGTGACTTCACGCCTAGGACAATTTTTCGAGGTTAAAGGACAATAAAGAAATAAGCATTGTCAACGACATAAACAAAAATGCAATTTTATATTCTTCTCGTTTTAAGAATAGACAGCCTTTTGACATCAATTCTAACTTCTTCAGGACAAATGAATAATTATCATTATTCGCAGTCATAAGTTCCACAGAATTCCCCAGCTATACACTACCATATTTACGAAAACAATTGATGTTGCAAAGCAAAAGATTTTTATTGATTACATAGTAAAGTAGTACACTTTTCTTCAATACATAAATAAATAAAATAAAATAAATTACAATGGTTCCAATGCAGGCTTCATCATTGTTACAATTTAACAAATAACTCTATAACCATAGCTGTAAATAGGACGTAAAGCACAAACGAACTAAACATATCAAAATTATCAAGTAACCCGTACTAGTTTAAAGGGAGATATTGTCCATTATCCATATTGTAACGGATATAATATGGAAGCAATACATTACACTAGACACGTGAAACGTAATAATCTTTCTGTTACAAGGTATAACTTTTTCATCATAAGGTTAATTGTTTCTCCCTGTTGCTTCAACACAAAAATAGTTTTTCTCTCACACTTGAGTGACATTCACTATTATTAAGGGCAAATATTTCTATATATTAACCTTTCTTACGAGAGACAATTCACACGCGCTTTCATTCTGAAAACTTTAACATTTCATAAAAGAATAGCCATATAAACCACGATGCCTCATGCACAGTCTGTTACTGAGCCTCAAAATTGTATCCTCAAATCGAGTGAAAATTTCTCTGTCTACATCCCATAGGAATGTTTGATTTATTAGTTTTTTTGTCTATATGACCCTTATTGAATAAGAAAATCAATAGAAAAGTACATCGTTAGGATTATGAAATGCGAAATCCGTTAGCGGGTGTCGTCGATGTAACAGAAGACGAAGACGCTTACCCTTCCTTAACATCATCTTATCAATCTTGTTCTTTGCTAGGGTATCAATGTAATTACTTCCTTTGTTCATATTCTACGCTAGTTCTATCGATTTTCAGTTCGAATTGCGGTTTTATTATTATTTTGTTTATTTATTTATATTTTACCTTGACATAACAATGCAAAAGAATATATTTGTTATTACTTATCAATAGTTGTAGGAATAAGTTTTTTGAATCTATATAGTATGCTTGTGCATGTCTATAATTATAATGTTAAATTGTTTGCAATGTAAACAAAAATATGAAAAGAATTGTTTTGAAATATAGAACTCTATCTAAATTATGGCGGTGTCCCGTCCAAAATTCCCAATTCAACCGATGTAGTTGAATTTAATGGTGGTATTCCGTTTCAAAAGATCCATTCCAAGCATCGCCATTCGAGGCAATGTTTGTGTGAAGTTTCGTTAAATGAATTTAAAACCATATTGTTTTTACGTAAATCAAGTGTTCTGTTTCTGAAATATACTTTTTTACACACAGCGTCTTTTGACTGGATTTTGTGATCTGAATATTCATGGAACAATTGCATATATCGAGGTAGGATTAAAGCTTGATTTTCTGTCAAGGTTTTAGATGATTTAAAAAAAATATATATATAAAAAATGAAAAAGCCCTATATTATTACAGTAACAAACAATTAAGTACACAACATGTTTCTGCTTAATTACTATTTGGAATTTGTTTGCTCATGTAATGAATTTTAATGTAGGTTTGCTTTTTATTATTTGAATTCTTTTTAAACAGACATTGATATTCTATGTACACTGAAATAAAATTCTAGACAATAAATCAAGATTTTTTTTAACAAAATCCAAACAAAGATACCTGATAAATTCGACCATGTATCTACTTAACAGTCCAGACTATCAATTTCAAAGTTATGTCGGTGTCGAAAATCCGGACAATGATATTTACTATAATGATAAGTTAATTGACAGTCCAGACTATGGGTTTCGATGTTTGTTATTGAAGACAATGACATCTGATGTATATGTATATTGATAAGCATGTCTGGTGTCGTCTATGAAACATAAGACGCTTACGCTTCCAGAACGCCTGGTATTAATGTCCTTGTATGTTATTAAAGGTGTCCGTATCAATCTGCCATTTGTTAACAATTCATCATTGTTTCATCGATATTTAGTGCGTATTACATTTTTTCTCATCACTTTTGTATTTCGTAGCTATGTAAATCACAGACCAGAAAATGAGTTGTAATGCTATGTCAGTGTATCGAATTCAGATAATGAGATTAGACGAACTCATATGTAACAGCCAAGAAAACTAATATAAATGAATGATATATCAATAAAAAGAAAGAAAGAGCTGGTCGGGCGGTGCAGTGGATAGCGCACTTGCCTTTCACCAAGGCGGCTGGGGTTCCATCCCACGATCTGGGTACTCCGGTTTCCTCCCACACTAACCCCCCCATAAGTGTTACTTAAGGTCAGCAGATTGTTAAAAAATCACGTCTTGAGTGTATGGAATGCAGCGAAAATATATGGATGTTCTTAAAATCCTTCATTACGCTACCAACTTAACGCGTTTGTCTACAACAGATTAACCAAACTTAAACTACTAATTCTAGTTCTTCACGTAAATCATTCCAGAAGAAAATCAAGCCAACAGGCTACACTAAGATCTGATGTACTTGTATGTTAATAACAGTTCATACTTTTACGTAGGTAACAGCCTGAACTTCAATATTCTTTTGGAATAGAAATTTCATGATAAATGTAGATGTACTTGTACGTAAATAACAGTCCATACTGTAAATAGGATGTAATTTTGGTACCATAATTCCAGACTAACGTACTTGTATGTAGCGAACAGTTATTTTAGTGTATGTTTGTTGTAACCATGTGACTCTTTAGGACAATATCCTTGCTTTTTTATATACACCCCGTACAGTTGATTTAGTATAAGATTGATGTAACAATTCCAGGCAATGACGCAGTTGTATGTAGGTAACAAAACATATAACTCGTTAATGTAAGATTAATTTAATTTATAATTTGTGTAACAATCCAACACTATACTATTCAACGTACACCAATTGTATGTAGTTAGCAGCCTAGACAATACGTTTAATGTAACACCTCCAGACAATGACATTTGATCTAGTTGTTTGAAGGTAATATCCAGTGCAAGAGATTTAATGTAGGATTGGTGTAATAATTCAAGACAATGATATTTGGTGAATTGTCCGCTTACTATTTTATAATAAAACCACAGACAAGAACTGCTTACAAACTACAGGTCCATAATGGACACGAGTTTTCGATTAGGACAGATGGTTAACTCCTCATCCCACTCGACATGGAACAGACATGGAGGAAGCCACATTATGATAACAGAAGGGAAATAGCGGTTTTATTAATGTAGCAGGGATTTAGATAATAATTCAAATATCCATCGAGAATGACAACAATTTTTGTTTCAATTTATTCTAATCAATGATAAATAAAAAGTTACATTTGGAAAAAGTGTTTCAACAGCAAAACCTTATTAACATTATGCAAGCATCTGCGCAGGCGCATACAAATTTAGACTGATACCATTTGTAAAAGCAGGAAAAGCGCACACTCGGTAAAGCATCGTGCTAGCCTTCAAAAACCTGACCCTCGGATAAAGATGTCTCTGACTACATCGCCTTGGAGTGATAGGTTATATTATACCACAGCAACAACACACAGTGACCGAATATCCCACAATGTCAACACAAAGAAAAAAAATCCAGTGCGCCATTACGCTGGTAAAAGCATGCCACAGAGTAAAAAACAGCACTTGAAAAAAATGCATCGTTCAACGTTAAAGAACAACATGTATCTAAGCAACCTCATACAAAGACAAACATACCCCGTCAGTTCACAATGCATATCACAGAGTCAATATCCTACTGCTTTGCCAATTGTTTATTCTCGTCAATATCCTACTGCTTTCCCAATTGTATAGTCTCGTCAATATCCTACTGCTTTCCCAATTGTATATTCTCGTCAATATCCTACTGCTTTGCCAATTGTTTATTCTCGTCAATATCCTCCTCCTTTCCCAATTGTATAGTCTCGTCAATATCCTACTGCTTTGCTAATTGTATATTCTCGTCACTATCCTACTGCTTTGCTAATTGTATATTCTCGTCAGTATCCTACTGCTTTGTCAATTGTATAGTCTCGTCAATATCCTACTGCTTTCCCAATTGTATAGTCTCGGCAATATCCTACTGCTTTGCCAATGGTATATTCTCGTCAGTATCCTGCTGCTTTGCCAATTGTATAGTCTCGTCAATATCCTACTGCTTTCCCAATTGTATAGTCTCGGCAATATCCTACTGCTTTGCCAATGGTATATTCTCGTCAGTATCCTGCTGCTTTGCCAATTGTATAGTCTCGTCAATATCCTACTGCTTTCCCAATTGTATATTCTCGTCAATATCCTCCTGCTTTCCCAATTGTATATTCTCGTCAATATCCTCCTGCTTTCCCAATTGTATATTCTCGTCAATATCCTCCTGCTTTCCCAATTGTATATTCTCGTCAATATCCTCCTGCTTTCCCAATTGTATATTCTCGTCAATATCCTCCTGCTTTCCCAATTGTATATTCTCGTCAATATCCTCCTGCTTTCCCAATTGTATATTCTCGTCAATATCCTCCTGCTTTCCCAATTGTATATTCTCGTCAATATCCTCCTGCTTTCCCAATTGTATATTCTCGTCAATATCCTACTGCTTTGCCAATTGTATATTCTCGTCAATATCCTACTGCTTTGCCAATTGTTTATTCTCCTTTTTTCACTTTCATTAAATAAATGTAGATACACGTAAGATGTTTTGGTTCAAACTGCGGTCCTTGGATTTTTCATCGATAGTCCCGGAGAACGAGACAAATGATGGTTTGAACTTGTGGCGTACTTGTTGACATCTTCCGCTGTGAAAAATTTAAAAAAAAATCTGTCTAAAAGCGAGTATCTACATGCATTGAACACTATATTGGGTTTGCTTGGCTTTTCGATAACTGGATTAAGTGGTCGGCCCCACTACAAAAAATACTTTTTAGGGTGTAACATAATTACTGAATCAATCAAGCTTCCCAAAACGAAATTACTGGTCTCGGAAGGAAAGTTAACTTCCATCTTATAAGAAAATAGGATTATAAACACAAAATTATAGCCCTTTGATGGACAGTTAACTTGCGCGTCGTCCGAAGGGAGGTGTTTCCTGCGCAGAATTACAAATGCTTTATATACCCGCAAGCACAAATCGCACAGACTCCGTCTTGCAGTTGAGATTCGGAAAGAAACACATCTGTAGCTCCAGTATAGGTCAACCCTCAACGATAGGTCAATGTTATTGGACAAGCTTCCTATCACTGACCTCACACCGATACCTGTAGCTCCAGTATATGTCAACCTTCAACGATAGGTCACTGTTATTGGACAAGCGTCCTATCACTGACCTCACACCGATACCTGTAGCTCCAGTATATGTCAACCTTCAACGATAGGCCAATGTTATTGGGCTAGCGTCCTATCACTGACCTCACACCGATACCTGTAGCTCCAGTATATGTCAACTCTCAACGATAGGTCAATGTTATTGGACAAGCGTCCTATCACTGACCTCAAACCGATACCTGAGCGGAAGGGAGAGGGAGGTGTGTAGGGGAAAATCGGTTTTGTACCATCTGACGACAGGGTTTCAGGACATCAAACAGCATGCCCCTGTTTGTAATTTGCAGTAAACTTGGCAGTAATTAGATGGGTACCTCACCTGTGAAATCGCCGTGTTGTCACCCACTTTGTTATTCAGTATGCTCCCCGGGGAGTTGCGAAAGATATTGTCTGATTGCAAAGGCCCTAAAACCACGGATAATATTTTGTGAATCGCTGTGAGACGACCTACGGACTAGGTTGTGATAAAGCGGTATATAAGAACCTCAAATTATTATCATTATTATTATTGTTTATTCATTACATCATTGTTACATAATGTAATACCATTAAAAAAAGTTATATTGCGTAAATCAACTGCTTGTTATTGCTTCATATACTAGTATGTTGTATACCCGGTAATATTATCGTAATGGCTCACGTTTACGTGAACCACGAACCTTTATCATTGCAATTCTTTCTATATTTTCCATTTCTATTACTTAAATACTACCAAACAATTTGACTAGTCTGAATTTTACAGACGTTGTATTACATGGTAATACCACAGGCAAAGGAGACTGCCAGATATTGCGTTGTTGTGACAGTGATTCTAAACAAGGGTTCTGTTGATTTTTCTCTGGCTTAGTCCCCAGCACCACAGATAAGTTCTAGAAGGACGAAACAGCTGGGGAAGTGTAGTTTATTTTTGGCAAAATCTATCAATCACCAACCTGTGTTTGAGTCTAACGTTTATCTTTCAAACTTTTAATTTTCATTTAAACTTGTCTCGATCGGTATGCCGATGATATACACGACCATCCGTTTCACGTTTTTGTTAAACTGATGGTAAATATAATGAAAACAAATAGCTGTTAGATTGAATCTGTAATTATTTTGTGTTATTTTAGCATTTATATATGGCTTTTCCTTTACTGTTGCTATTTAAAGAAAGTTTAAAACTGATTCGTTCGTGGTAAACCACCATAACAGTTGATTTTTAGACAGTGAAATATTACCAAAACCGCCAGGAACCAATCTTTAACCTTTTCCCCCATTGTGCAAATAGTAACAAACAAAATAACGCCACGATAAAAGACATGGAATTAGAGAAAAGCGTTTTCTTAATACATCCTTAACGCTAAGATAATGGTAATCGACTTTTGAAAATACGCATTAACGTTTCGTCTGAACGATCTGGGAAAGGGGTTAGTTACCTAGGAGAATATATGTGCCTATTCGAAAGCTCAGAAAAGAAACGGGACACTTTATATTTCCTAGAAATTGAAACTGGAGATATCATGGCGGGTTGTCTATTCCTGTCGAGTTGGAGATGATATTTTGTCCTGCTGTATTGAGACCCTGCTGCGGTATTACTTGAACAACAAAAACCTATATAAAGTCTATTTATAAATCAATATGGTAATTTTTATTATCTCATATAAGTCATACCGTACAATTGTCTATGACGTCAATAATTGATCAACGTTTTCTAAGATATAATGGTTAGGCCGCAATGTTTCCTATTTCGTAAGATATAAAGTCCTATGTTTTTTCACCCCTACAGGTCGGGGATCGAGGAAAGAATACACCTGCTTGTATCGTAAGAGGCGACTAATGTGGGAATCCCCTGCAGAATTGGGGATTCGCTTTTGTGCCCTATACTTGAGGACACAAAAGCGACCAAAATATATCTGCTGCACTAATTGTAATGGTTGGGATCTTATTATTTCTCTCTACTTATAACTACTTTTTAATTCCTACTGCCTTGTTTTGTAATACCTCAAGTTTGGCTTTGATGTTAAGCGTTCGCATAGGTGAGGAAGGCAATGGGTTCTGTCCCCAGGCCGGGACATAGCAAACTCCTTAAAATGGTTGTTGTTATTCGCTGCTTAACCTTCAGCATTTAGGGGAATGGCAACAACTGGTTCACCCGTTTTCAGTGTAATATGACCGGGCGGAATGCTGTGCTTGGTGCCTTCGACAAGATATTTCAGTGAGATAGCACTATAAAGTCGGTATCAGATCCGCTCTATCACAAGGAGGCAAGTACACCAACATGCTTTGACTCCAACACACAAACACACATGTACATAAATTATTCACAACACACATGGAGGCACGTCCTTAAATGACAAAATAAAAACAAAACAAAACAAAACCTTTGTTTTTTTACGGCATTATTGATACAGACACGATTTTAATTGTGTCAGTGATGCAGCCCCATATTTTTAATGACGTCAGGGTAACAACCATATTTCTAATGACGTCAGGGTTACAAACATATTTTATATGACGTCAGGGTAACAACCATATTTTCGTTAGAGTCTGAAATATAACATTTACAACCGCTGATTTTAGATGTATAACTTCCTAGTTTTGTTAAACATTTATTCATATATTTAATCATTTTTACAGATGTGTGGTATGAGCACTTACAAAACTAGCATGAATTAATGTGTTTGATATTGATGATATCATCACTTACTTAAATTGTAATCGAGCTCTGCATTTTACGATATTTAGTCGCTAATATGATACATAACACAGTCTATAATGTATAAATGTTTCCCAAATAATAATTTCTGTCAGAAACAACGACGCATTTGTATTGCCCCCCCCCCCCCCCCCCCNTTGTATCGTTACTCACCAAACACAAAATATCTAAATGTATGAGTTGTACTTTAACAGTCGTCGAGGTCTTGTTAGCCAAAGTTTTAAAAACTATCACACAACAGTTAACGTCACAAAGACTACCATCTAGCATTACGAACGTCACAAAAACCTTTACAACAGTGCTTACGTCACAAAAAACTATCATACAACAATGCGTACGCTAAAAACATAAAACAAAAAAAATAGTGCTTAATCCTCAAAATGTCCCATTCAATAGTATAGTATTTACGTAACTAAAATACAATACAACAGTGCGATGTCACATAAACTCCTACATAACAGTATTTACGCTTCAAAATTGTCCTAGCAATAGTGCTTACGTCAGAAAATACTCACATACAAAAGTGCGTACGTCACAAAACTTCCCATACAACAGTGTTTAATTCATCCACCTGTACATTGTTGACAATCGAATAATGTGGTTATTAGTAAGAAATAGTTTTAGCATTGACAATAAATAGTGTAAGTGGGGACAACTCTTAACATTCAGATAAAATAAAGGGAAATTTGGCTGCGCTTTTAAAGTCGTGTTAGCCAATGTTAAAAACACCCACAGAACAGTATATTTACGTTATACAAACTTTGACATTCGACCATTGAATTAATGTCGTGACAATTAAAAAAAAACACATTCGAAGGTGCTGAAGGTAGTGACAAAAGTCATAAAGTGACAAATTATAAATAAGAAAAGTGCCAGTTGTACTTTAAAGTCAACATATCATACCGGCTATAGGTTAAAAACAACTCCCATACAACAGTGATAACGTTGCCCAATCACTCAAAGTTGACAGAAGCAGATTGGATTAAGATTCTGACAGTGGTTTAAATAACTTCGGATGCGATGAGCGGGACACACGTCTTGCTGTCTCGATAAAAGAGAGACAAGTCTAAGTCTAAGTACAACAAAACACTCCCAGTATGTTGCTGCGAATGATAACGTCCCGATACAAGACAGAAAAAAAGAAACCAGCATTCCCTTGGTATATCTGTGATGTTATAGACAGTTGTCTATGTTGTACTTTTAAAGCCATCATGTCACGTCATTCATAGGTTACAAACACCCTATACAGCTTATGTTCAAGTGACGATAATTATACAGAAAAAAGAAAACAAGTAACTCACTTGATAACGTCAACATAAATTGTCAACAACCGGCGCAAACACTTTCATACGACCGTGATTACGACATCCACACATTTAACTTTGACACATGCATTAATTTTGTGGCAAAGGTTTTAATGCTGTCCAGTGATGTTGTAAGTGGTGACAAATGTCAGTAGTAAGGCTTGGATAACACAAAGGGAAACAAAGTCATCATTCCTCTGATAAATTCCTACCGTTATAGACAGTGGGCTTACTTTTGTT